TTGCTTGCAACAGGCAAACGAAGTCCTTCAAAAAGATAGTCCTTTATTGGATGTGTACCATTAGGCAGAACTTCATGTACAAAAATATCCATCATCAGTCCATCGTGCCATTTACATTTGTAACGGATGCAGTATTTATAACAACTTTTACGGTCACGAATTCGAGGGTTTTTAAACCTCTTATATAGACCAATATCTTTATATTTAAGTCGTTTGTATTCTTGATCTGAAGGCCTAATATACGGGTCTGATTCACTATTCTGAAAGAATACATCATCGGGCAAGTCTTTGCTTGCTGTGCGGTAAAATTTCTCGTATTCGTCGAGTGTCATTTCAATATCAGCATCGTTATCCCATGGTATAAAGCCTTTATGTCGAACTGCACCAATCAAAGTACCAGAGGAAAGCCAATATGTTACATTGTGTCTACGAGCAACTAGGTCAACTACTCCTAGAAGTCTTGTGATGGCAAGCTGGGCCTTTCTCAGGTTACTAGAAGCAAGATGTCGCAAATCACTACATTCTGCCTTGTTRGCTTTGTACGCGCATTTTCCTCCCAGTTCTGTGTAGAGCGGTGGGCACATCATTCCATCTTTAACTTTCACTGCACAGAAAGTCCTTAGAAGGTCATAGTTTTCAGGTCGTGGAGTATTCACAGCATTGTTCGACTTAACATTTGATSGACATTTACATTGGGTATTAACGCATTTAATATTGGATTCTTTCAATACAGTTATTGTCAAAATAACCACAATAACCGTGCAAGTGAATGCAAGTAAACGATTTGGAAGCTTCATTACTAGTCACACTGGTCACATATGCGTTGTGTAGAGTCCCAGTCGTCGACTACGCATTGTGATTTCATACCCACGACATAAGTCAAAGTCCTTGCGAATCAGGCAACGGTTTATTTATTTTATTTTTTATTTATTTATTTTTTTTTTTTGGGGGGGGGGGGGGGGGGGGGGGGACTCCGCGGTAAAAGTACCGGGGATGCTCGTCGGATCTCTTAGGGGTAAAAATTCGTGATTGAGCTTTTCAATCTCTTATCAATCTCTTCAAGGATCTTTTTTAGGGGTCGTTTTTTGAAAATGTATGACGAGCATCCCCGGTACTTTCTTTGTCTTTAATTTCATGGGAAATAATCAACCGTTTAATACACAGTTTCGAGATCATACTTTTAACCTCGAAAGCATGTAATATATTCTTTTATTCAGCAGAGATCCTATTGGTGGGTTGCATGTGACGTCATACTCGTGCAAAAAATATCGAAAAATCCAAGACATTTTTTCTAAAGAGCCCTTCTTACAGTATATCTTAAATATACGTCTAATCAGTGTATATGCAAATTTTCATACGAATTCAACGCTTTGGTCGTAGTTACTAGAGATTAACTATGCTTTGGTGGCGAAAGACAAAAGTAAAAACTTCGAGATGAGATAAATCATTCTTTCAACTCCGTAAGAACTTACTTAAGGTAATTTTTCTTTGAAATAAAGTCTTTTTGAAATAAAACCTTTGAAATAAAGGTTTTTGAAAATAACGAATAATAACGAAYGATAAATTTTCACTTCGGGGGTTGCAACCCAAGAATTGTAGCAAACACTCTAGGTACAAAGAAGACAACAAAAACTTATGTTTGTTTGAAGCTAAGCTTGAGTTGTCCACTAATATAAAAACAAMGATTGTGATTTGGGAAATAACAAAGAGAGACAGGCAATACAAAAAACAAACAAAGATGTCCATTAGAACAATAGGCATTGTCTGATATAATCCTACAATTCTTTGTTGTTGTTGTCTCTATCAATCACAAGSTTCGTTCTGACGGAAGTGTTCCACTCTGCACAAGAGAGAATTCGAAACTAAAGYATAAAGTCTCGTAGACTGAATAGGATAGTTGATACGTTGGACTTCATCTTCACCAGCATTTCACATAATGTCAACTTTTATTACATAAAAAGCTATCAATTATTGCTTATTATTGATAAATTGTTACAAGGATTCTTTTGAAAGACTAAACTTAAGTTTTAAAAGTCTTTTTGTTGTGCTTAATGTTGTGTACCCTGGTCCCAGAGGTTTGATATTTTCTCTCTTCGCTATTGTYTTTATCGAATAGCGAAGAGAGAAAATATCAAACCTCTGGGACCAGGGTAAATGTTGTGCTTAGCCMGTAGGGAAATGGTTTGAGGCGGGCAGGTGAGAGTCGAGTTTCTGTTATTATGGATAGTGATGTTTTTTTTAATTGCCTGGTTGATTTTTGCTGTTCAAATCTGTGATTATGCAAAGACAAAGTTTTCTTCCATTCAAGATATTACGATGTTTGATCAGCTGWCCACGGCAATCAGAGAGAATTTATGTTTCAATAGAATAATTAAAAGAAAAGAAAGGAAGAAAGAAAAGAGAATAAGAAAAAAATGAGCGGTTTTTKTTAYKTTTATTCYTAGTACTCTTTGACTTTTTCAAAATGGTATTTTGTATGYTGATCCGATTGWCCYTTTTGATAWTTATTCCTCTTTTTTTRATGTTWAACATAACTYTCTATTCAAAAAAATAATTTCCATGAAATATTGATGTAGTTGTCTTAAAATCCAGACATTTCAATGAGCGAAAGAGCCGGAAAAATATATGTATTTYATTTGCTCAACTCTTCGCAGCCATGTTCAGGGTCTGGRTAGTAAGCGTTAAAGCTAATTTTCTTTGGAATTTCCATATATTTCTYGCCATATTTCTCGCTCAAGAACTCTCTCCAATTATTTTGTATCGGTAAACGTAACCCTTCAAAGAGGGCTTCTTTAAGAGGATAATACCCTTCCGGAATGTCTTCCACAATAAACATATCTATCATAGCTCCATCGTGCCATTTGCAGCCATAATCTATGCAGTATTTGTAACAGCTTTTGCGATCTCTTATTCTAGGATTATATGTACGCCGATATAAACCGATGTCTTTATACTTCAGAGCCTTGTATTCACTTCGGCTAGATGGTCTAAGATAAGGGTCTGATTCACTATTCTGAAAGAATACATCATCGGGCAAGTCTTTGCTTGCATTGCGGTAAAATTTCTCGTATTCGTCGAGTGTCATTTGRATATCAGCATCGTCGTCCCAAGGGATGAACCCCTTGTGTCGAACTGCTCCAAGTAATGTGCCAGAAGTGAGCCAATACTTTATTCCATGTTTCCGAGCAACAGTATCGAAAGCGTTTAATGATTGTGTAATAACAAGCTGAGCCTGTCGTACTGAGTATTCAGAAAGTTTTCTTACATCGTTACAAACCACCTTTGTGTTATTATACATACATTTACCTCCAATGTCAGTGTATAGAGATGGACACATTAAAGCTTTCTTGAGTCTAACTCCACACAATGTCCTGTTMAGATAGKAATTTACTGGACGCGTTCTTGGTAAACTGTCTGTCAAAATCGCTTSTATAAAAGTCTTCTTGTGTTGTTTCATCTTAGATGYTGGCTTAGGAGTTCGTTTGGAAGTCGTTACTTCATTKTGAGCTGTTGGAATATCAGTTTGAACCAACCCTTCCGCGGCCGTTGTTATAAATGCAAATCGTTCACTCGTTTGACTTGATGGTATAAATTTCAGCATTCTTCGATTGTTAATCGACATGAAGGATATAACTATAAAAGTGACTGTTAAGCAGCTAATRCAAAGGAGAGAGAGCCTTCTTGACCACAGCATTTTGGGTTTTCCAAGACCTAGAATACACAACAGCAGTTTTCTATAAATAATTAACCTATATTCATTTCGCTGGAGCGTTCAGAGGTCAGGACAAAAGCCCCGGTAGGGGGTAGGGCCGGGGACGTTGTTATTCTTCTCTGTTGAAAAGTCAATGTTTTTCTACCCAGGTTCTGATATTTGACCAGTTGCCAACTACATAGTCCATTAAGCTTTGTCAGGTTTCGATTGGATGATATCCAAAGGCCAGAAAAAAAAAACAATAAACTCATTTTTAGAATATTTCRAGAGTATTTTTCAATTTTTATTTTCATGTAGTATTTTATTGAAGTTCTGTTTATATTCTTTTATAGTTTGTTTTAGCTCTGTTCTTTAGCACAAAAAATTCGTAAAGAAAAAWGAACCTTCATGCAGCTGYAAGTTTGGCCCATGTCGCATGCAGCAAGCCAGAATTGGCTACGTTGCTCTCACTTGCCTAAGTTGTCTYACAACATGAATATACATGGCTGCAACTGTCATAGAGATYCAAGATAATTGTCTAAAAYAGTTGTAGCCATGTTTGTACGGATTGCTTAGATTGCGYATTTAAGTTTTAACCGTCTTGATTAGATAGAATAGGCAAGGAAGAAGTAGCTTTTCTTGTACCGTTCAATAAACGGCATATAAACTATGGTGATACAATTCAATTTCCTATTCAGTGAATTAAAGCGCATTTSATGACAGTATGTCTTTTTTCTACAGTACCGTCCACAAGATATCAGACCAGTTCACAACGATATTCTTATTGCGAAGTTACGACCTGGACAGGTAACGTGTACCCCTCCCTCCCCTCCCTCCCCTCCCTTCCACATTTTGTGACGTCCTCCTCTCTCGCTTTCCCTTTGAAGACATGACGGATGTGAATTCATACAAAAACTTAACCTCATATTTCGTTTTCAAATGACTCAAAATAATTGCCAAATAGCAATAGTATTGTGCACAGAAAATCCGATATCACTTAGTTTTTTTTTCATTATGGATTTTATGTAAAACACTTTTATARCATACAACATTTATAACTAGCAATATAAGATTTCAAGTACAGATCGCTCTCTTTTAATAAAGTCTTAGTTGTGGTTTGATTATTGTACGCCATCTGTGTCAATGCAGACCGCAAGCCCTGAACATTTTAAGTCAACAAATGTTAGAATTGAGTRCCATTGGAGAATTAAAAATGTCGACAGAGAGAAAATTGAAAAACTTATATTTTTTAAAGTAAACTCGCCATTAATTTGCTAAAGGCCTGTTTTTCAAAGCCACAGTATGTAGGAGGTCGTTTTATTAAATTTGAGCGCACATGTTCTGAATTCATGAATTCTTTTGATGACCCAAAAAGATATGAAAAGTAATAATTGAATTGAATATACCATTGAATTGTGTTTTTCTTTTTACGAAAAAAGAATTTGTTAGAAAACGATAACTCTGTGTGTTTTAATTG